TCCGCTGACCTGTGATGAAGGGTTATCCCATCGGCGGGCGGCTCGGGGTCTGGTTGCAAAAAGGTACCCCAGCTGACATGCATCACCAAAAACAACCAGGCGGCCGAACGAACACCATGCCGCGTTGTAACCGCCAAAAGAACCCCAACATGGACGACTGAGCGCCCCCCCTTGGAAGAGCAGCCGCCGGAAGAACAAGGCGAAGCCGCCGGGAGATTCCGTCGACGTAAAACCACAAGCGGGGCTGGGGCATTAGCTTCAAGAGGCTTGTCCGGATCCACCGAGTGCTCACGGTGGAGTACCATTAAACTGCCTCGGGCAAGAAGCTCAGCAATCCTGCATTCGGGAACTGGTTCGCCAGATGTAGCCACCGCATTGGCAAGACGAGTCGCTGGGCTCGTACCCGGCTGGTAGGGAAGCACAGCAAGCCCAGCTCCAAGTGGTCTGAAATCGATAATGCCAGGGAGACAGCCTTCTGGGCATTGCAAAGCAACAAATTGCACCGCGGGCAACTGCTCAAGGGGAGGAAGGATCCGAGCGAAGTGGCTAAATGTAGCTCCTCCACACGTGACGTCCGACATGAAAGCCCCCATCACAGTTGAGCGAATGGCAAGATGGTCCGCAAACATGGGCGCGAAAGTGAAGAACAGCCCATTAGCGTACAAAACCACCGCATTGACCCCAGTCTCAGAATGAAAGGCAAGCTCTGCGGGTCCTGGGAGCGAAAGGCTCGTGGAAAACACGTCCTCCAGAGACAATCTAGGGGACAGTGAGCCGTGACGAGAAGGCGGCACAGGTTGGGGAAGACGGACCGAAGGCCACACCTGCAACGCATCCCCTTGCGGAAGCAGAAGCACATATGCCTGGGGAACAAACCACGCATTGCCCAGTCGACACAAACAGTTGTTCACGTCTACTTGTAGACCTTGCTGCACAGCCGCATCCCGGAACGACTGCGGCTCCTGGCTGATGCCGGAAGGTATCCAAGAGCGAAACAGACCCACCGACAGCACGTAGATCGACCGGGACACGGATCCGCAACCAAGGCAAAGTGAGCTCAGTGAGAACATACTGCTCCGGCGGGAGCGAAGGCAGTATCTCAACCTGTCGTCGCCAACTCCACTCGGCTGTCTGCAGACCAAGGGCCGAACACACCTGCCGGAACAAGAGGGCACCATGGGTACGGTCATCAATGTGGAGGACCTGCGGGCATTGCGCTAGAGAAGGGGCAAAAACCCCTATGTCACGCATCGGTGCCGGAACTTGCTGCAATACCGGTTCAACACAGGGACCGCCCGGAAACCGCACTGGTGCAAGGGCCGAAGCCTCCACAACAGCAGGAACTGACCCTGTCGAAAAAACCGGTTGGCCCCGAGCGACTCTGACCGGCCAAATCTGAACAGAGTGCGAGGGCGTGCAACAAAGCCACAAGAGAATATAAACTCTGAGCCGACGCGAGCTCGGGCAAAACTGAAGAGGCAACATACCGCCACGCAGGATCCTGCTGAATGACGCAGTGAAAGCCAGGCAAGCCCAATGCCAGGGCGAACCCATACACGAGGAGCTGGGTCCGGTACGCCAGACGGAACCCCACTGCAGGGTTGGCAAGCCCCTAAAGAAGCCGCTGCACCCATGCCGGACACACGCAGAAAGGCAGAGGGTGTCGCGAGGAGCTGTCGTGCCAACTTGAACGACAGTATCTGGACAACCCTTCCAGTGTTGCCCGCCCAAGCATCCTAGAATCAACAGGGCCAGACTCCAGGGAAGAAGGCAGAAAAGGGAGAACCCTATCCCCCAGAGAAAATCGGGCCGGGCGTAAAGGCCTGCGGGCCGATTCCTTAAGGTTCGACTTGCAGGGCGGTTGACCTGCTCGGAAAGGGGCATGGCTGTTGCAACAGTGTGCGCACCTGAATATCCTCTGCAGGTTCTACTGCAATATACCCCTTGAAGGGACCTCCTCGTTCGACCAGCAGCGTAGGATGCAGCCACTCCTGCAGAGTAGCGGGCGCATAACTGTATGGGTCGAGGAGCCCTCCTGCAGTAACATGCGCCGCAACCAGAAGTCCCTGTGGCAAGTGACTGACGACACCGGCACACACACAGATCAGGGGCAGCAGTTCGCGCAGTTGTTGGTATAAACCCGGAAGTGCTCCTAAGTCCCTGCCCTGTAGCACCTGCTGGAGGCATTGCCACACCACTCCGCAGTGTGCCAATACCTCGCTTTCTTTTTCGGCATTGTAGACCGGGCAGATGATCGCATCCTGCTCGGGGCAAGCGGCTAGCTTGCCCACACACTCCCCTCCTTGGGAAACGGCAAACTGCAAGAGAGCAATCCATGCCTGCTCCCAAGTACGTGGAGGCTCGTGCACCGCCGGAATGAGCTCGGCCTCTTCCTCCGCAGCAGCCAGAAGCGAAGACCTTGGCGCTTTGTCCGGCGTGCGACCTGTCTTCGTTGTTGGCCACGGCGTCCCCATGTCGAGCTCTCTTCTCGGGCTTTTGGATGGCCGTTCCGCATGGCCACCACTGCGCTTTCTCCACCTGCCGCCTGTAGAAACCGGTAGTGCCGTCTCGCCCACACCGGCCGGTATAGGGGCCGTCGGCATCGCAGTCGGGGCCCGACCACCCATAGTAGACATGACAGGTAACCCCGTAGCAGTGGCCGGCAGGGCTGTGTCTCCTGATCCATCGAGGCCTAGGAGATCCTCGTCTGCTGCACCGAAGCTTGCTACGGAGCCCATACCAGGGTGCGACCCCAGCTGCACTCTTCCTGCTTCGCCCCAATGTTGAGGAGAAACCAAGAGATTGGCATCCATAGAACCCATACGAACGGAGGGAACGCCATCTTCCCCAATCGTGACACTTGGTGGGAGCCCCCCGCCTTGGGGTTCCACGGTGTGGCCTAAAGGTTGTAACGTGACTGTGCCAAACGCACGAAGCCGGGCTGCAAGCTGCAGTACCTCCTGTTCTTGGGGCGCCGACCATATGGGTCCCACCGCCGCCAGAGCCTTGGTCACCTGAGCCGCGGTGGTCTCTGAAGGCTGCTCGGAAAGGATCTCCCTCATTTCCCTGGCAGCCACCGCCGTATCGTCGTCCAGCCTCTGTCCGATTGCACGAACTTGCGCCAGAAGACCGAGCATGTGCTGACTGACAAAGCCGAACCAAGCCTGCAAAGCCACGGCCATATCGGCTTTCGCACGCTCGTTGCCTGACAGTCGCTTGGCGAGCTTGTTGGTGAGGTTGGTCCTTCTCTGGAGGTTCTGCTCTGCCGTCCCCGCCAGAAACGTCACCGGTGCCGCTGTCCACAAATCCTGAGTGGCTCTCGTAGACAGCGACTGAACCGCCTGAACCACACTTGAAGGTAAGGCAAACTCTATGCGATTCTGCTGAGGTTGAGGTTGATCTCCTCGTCCTTTCTGTTTTCCTCCTTGAGGTCGCTGTGCTGGCACATTTGCCGCTGTCTTGGGGGCCACGCTCCCGTGATGGGCCTGCAGGAGCCGGCGCGCTGCCAGCGAGGTCCTGCCTGCCCTCAAAAGTTTCCTCGCCTTCGACCGGGCTCGTCGGAGCCGACGGTGCCACGGCGGGCTTGGCGCCCTGCTCACGTGGCTTCGCACAACCAAAACTGCCCCAGATAACAAGGCCAGTGCCAAGAATCAGGAGCGGGTAAATCGGCCAGTAAACCCTGGCCTTGGGCATGCGACCTCCAGTCGCGGTACCACACCAGCTGTCGGCCGAAGCAGCGAGAGCTGGGAAGAGGGGCGCGCCCCCTCGGTAACAGCAGAAAGGCTATCAAAGCCAAACGGCAGCGCTCAACACAGAGCTGGGGTCGGTTATATGCAGGGCGCGAAACCACTCCTAACCGGAGACGCTACACACCAGCTGCACTCGAGCCAGACGCCTTAAACCCTAAACCCTAAATCCTAAACCCTAAACCCTAAAACCTAAGCCCTAAACCCTAAACCCTAAACCCAAACTAAAGCCCTAAACCCTACACACCTAAGCCCTAAACCCTACACCCAAAACACCTAAACCCTAAACCCTAAACACCGAAAACACCGAATGTCTCTGGAGGCATCAACCAAGGAATAAACCAAGGTCACGTGCTGATAAAACCCTGGTCTTAGGGTGCAGGGCTTCAGCGGGTTTTGGGTTTAGCATGTAGGGATTAGGCTTTAAGGCTCAGGGGGATTTCGGGTTTGGGGAATTATGGGTTGGGGTTGAGAATCTGCTGCCGCTGACATGCTGCTCCTGTGCAGGCATCGATATTGGTTTTGCGAAATCTCTATCTACATACTTATACAAATGTGTGTATATATATATATATATACAGTATATGTCTCACGAAAGACGAAAATAGATTATACATACATATTATGTATATGTATGTGTGTATGTGTCTATCTATATACATATATGCGTATGTACGTATATGGAAGCGAAGAAACGAAGCCATGTTAAAGCCAGAACTCCTACATAGCCGTCTATGTCTCGGGGCCCGTGTCTCACAGAACTCCCCGTCCAGCAGAAGGCATCGTGTGGCAGAAAACCGAGGTTTAGGGTCTAGGGCTTCGAAACAAGAACCGGATAGAAAAATAGAAAACCGTATCACTGAACATGTATATGTACAATGCTCACTGACACTGTTCCTCCCTACACTCACTAACCCTTGTGCCTAACAAATCGGCATGCCACCCCAACCATGTATTATATACTACAGGTAAGCTACCTTGCGGAGATACCGGCAGTGTGACGGTACACTAACTGCCACCCCCCCCTCCCCAGGTACCAGTGTACTCCACACCCTGTCTCGCATCTTCAAGGGTAGGCGCGAGAGGGTGCAGGACCGGGGAGGCTTCACAGCAAGGTTTCGGGTTTTGAGTTTGTCTTTAGTCCAGCTCTCGCAGACGTGTTAAACAACAGTTTTGCGGCCTGCTTACAAGCTTGAAGCTGGGACCCTCAACGGCAAATGCGCCAAATTGTCGCTCTACCACGTGGCTGCCGGCCTTCAACTTTTCGTGGGGCTCGACCTTCGTCATCTTCAACAGCACGTCCGCAGCTACGGTGTACATGGGGAAGAGCATTGGAGCTGCCTGAGAGCAGGCGAAAGACCAACTGACGGCGTCGGCCGGTCCTACAAGCCCACACGAATCTCATGCTTTCAGACCTACATTCCACATTCTGCATGTACTTCAGAGCCCAGCGGCGTCTGCATCATCGGGCAAGGATCGGGCATAGATTTCGAGCGGCGTCCGAGGCTTTTCGAAGAGGCAAGAGGACATGAGCTCAAGTCGCGATTAACAACACGAACGGAAAATCAGGCGGGGCTCAAGCCCCTGTCCCGGAAAAGCAACGAGGTGTAGAGTGTAGGGATTATGGGGCTGCTTGGGAACTGAATGCCTGGCATGCCTCTATGCTGACTGCTTCTGATGAGATCTGTGCACTCCACAGAAGCTCTGGATCCAGAGCTGCCAGCATAAGGGGTTTAGGGGTTCTGGGTTCAGGGTAACACCTGCAATGCAGACAATGCCAATGCGAATACGGGTGCTTGTGCTGAGACATGCAGTACGAATACTAACATATTTGCCAGTACAAACCATGATGCTATGTAGCACGAGTACGAGTAGAGACATACTGGTGCTAGTGCGAACACTGAACATCGCCTTTAACATCCATATTATCGCTATCATCATCAAGATCCTTCTCGCCATCATCACCAACAGCAACAACATCAACATCATCTTCTTCTTCGTCGTCATCATGACCAGCATCGTCATCCATCATCGTCAATCATCGCCAATCATCATCATAGTCGCCATCAGAACTATCATTATACCCAGAAGCAGCATCAGCTGCCGCAGCAGCAGTGGGCAGCAGTGGCAGCAACATTTGTTGTCGTTGTCTGATCTTGGTCAGCGTCACCACCATTACCACCGCCGTCATCACAACTACCTGAAGCTGAAGCTTCCCAGTGACTGAGTGCCGATGATTTGAGCACTCCACTGCAGAGCAGACTGGAGGTCCCAACCACAAAAAGCATTCGATGTGCCCAGAAGGATACACCAAGGTCATCTGACTTACTCTTCGAGGAAGTCAGGACTTACGGAGGGCATCTTCGCCCACCCGTTTCATAATTCACATCTTGGGCCCCAAGACTGTTAAAACGGAACCTCGACATAGCCGTCAGCAAGAGCGAGCGAACAGACCCGCCGGCACTCTGACGGGTCCCCCTCCAGCCCAAGCTGCAGAAAGCGTGGGATCGACTGGCCACGGGCAAAATCTGCTGCGGTCCAGCGCCGGCAGTTGCAGAGGTCCAGTCTCGCGCCGGCCGCAATCAGAGCTGCGGCGGCCTCGAATTGAGCCGACCTTATGGCCTGCATCAGCGGCGTGCTGCCTTGCATATGATAGGCCAGAGTGGTCAGAACAGTTATCCGACCAAACTTGTACTGCAAAGACTTTCCCGCGAAGAGCAGCCGGCCCAGTGTGCCGAACTCACGCGAACTATTCAGTTGAAAGTCGACATCGGCGCGGAGGGCGATCAACCGATTTGCTAACTCTGCTGAGCCACCCCGCATTGCCACGGCATCGAAGAGCGCACGCGAAAGATCCAGGGAACCCGGGCGACCCTGTCTAACCAGCTCCTCCAGAGCTGCAGCAGCCGCACATGCTGCTGCATTTCGCAGGGAGCTGACACCGAACATGTTGAGGGCCAGGGGCTTGGCACCCGCTTCACACAGGAGCCGGACTCCTTCTGCATTGTCCGTGTTAGACGCCACGAAGACGGCTGGGGCGACTCCGCCCTGAAGGTGAGCTCTTGCCGCGAGGAGCAGCCCTGTGGCCTCCTGGTGCTTGTAGAACACTGCCAGATCCAAAGCCGACACCCAAGGCGGGAAGCCCAACATCGGCTCATCCTTCGACGTGCGCCGGTTCACGTCGGCGCGCCTCTCCAGCAGGCCCCGCAGCACCTCTGCATTGCCGGCCAGAGCAGCGTAGTGCAGAGGCCACCACCCCGTGCTGTCGGCCTCAGCGACCCTCCTCAAGCCGTTCTGGTGCAGGAACTCCGCCACTGCATCATCACCACCCTCAGAGCTGGGAAGCAAGCCGCCAATCGGCTCGATCTCCAACCCCCGCAGGTGAACCGTCTGGAGGTTGAAGTGGCGTCGGAATCCAGGCAGGTCGCCCACTCGCAGGCAATGAAGCAGTTTCTGAACCAAGATCTGCCGCATCACGGGGGCCAGCTTGTGTCGATCCTCCTCGATCTCGAAATGGCCTTCCCCGACGGGGCCACTCGGAAAGGACAGCACCGTGCCAACAACTTCAATGGAGGTGTCGCTTTGAATCAAGATCCAAGTGCTGTTTGGCGACAGCTCGCGTGCGGCTCGTTCTAGGCGGCACCACCCCCTCCTGCTCCAGGTCGCCGACGTAAGCACTGTGCTCTTCAAGGGGCAGTCGAGAACAGGGCAGAGCGCAAAGAAAAAATCGCACCTGGCTATGTATGCCGGGATGCTTGTTATGGCACTGGCCTGGTGCATGTTCGGCTTTTTGTCGATTCGATGCTGCAGCTGTGGGCACGAGAAAAAGTCGTACCAGAAGTACAGTGTCTGTGCCTGAAACTCCTGCATGGGAAGAGGCTTGGCCTTTTGCACCAAGGCTTCCGTAATAAAGTCTAGTGAAAGAGATCCAGAGCCGCTCAGGATGCGCTTCAAGGCATTCTGTAAGGTACCTAGATCATGGTCGGGATAGTATTAAAAACTGACATGATCTTACATGCTTATTCCTTACTGGGTTTAAGTACCCATAAAAATGTAAAATGTTGTCCAACTATGACAAAGGTACGCATCTGCTTAAAATCGGGATCTGGGTGGTCCTTGGCAAGCCACTGGTGCGAAACGAACGCTGCCTTGCCCAAGTCGTCGCTGAAGGCAACAAGCTCACCTCCGGCCTCCGAACCATCAGAACTCGGATTTGGGTTTGAGGGCTTAGGGTTTAGGGTTTAGGGTTTCGGGTCTAGGATTCAGGGTTCAGGGTCTAGGGGAATCTAGGGTTTATCCCAATCCAGTGGCCAGGGGATTCAGCTTCAGGATTCAAGGTTTTCACATCACTAAACCCTAAACCCTAAGTTTAGGGTTGTGGGGTTTGGGGTTTAGGGTTTAGGGTTGTTTTCACATCACTAAACCCCAAACTAGAGCCTTAAACAAATTCCAGACCTAAACCCCGAGTTCCCAAAGCCCGACACCCCGGCATTGATCTAGAGAGACCGGGAACAACACTCCAAGGGTCAACAGTAAGGACCCCTAGTTATATACCCTTAATATAGCCATTATATACGCATTATACAGCCGATTATCGGGTAGGGATCCCCATTAAGGGTCCCTCCTTTTCCCCTTTTCCCTGCAAGCTTGCGGTCTAGGGCTCCGGTTCCCACAGACTCCAAAACCCTTTAATTTGATTCAGAAATTTATACCTTATTATCATGGGATGCCTGATATGGTTTATGGTATATTACTTGTTTAACGGGTTTGGGAGTATATGGGTTTGCTGTGAGCTACGGTGCTTCCGAAGTTCTGCTGCACTGCCATGCTACCCGCGTGCAGGTGTCGAATTTAGCGTTGCTACCTCAACCTGCCCATCTTAAAGAAAAGAACCTTCTATCTGTATGCATATGTGTGTGTATGTATATATATATATATACATATTATATATATATATATATATGTATGCCAAGCCATGCAAATTAATTGCTTTTGCAATCCAAACGATAATATGGATCGTCTAAGAGAGTCTCTTGTCTAGCAGAAGCCTTGTCTCGCAGAACTCCCTGTGTAACAGAAATCGGAAAGCAGTGTCCGGTACAACACCTTGTCGAATCTAGAACCATGGTCAAACCAAAAACCTTGGCCCAATAGAAAAACCTTGTCCACCAGAAAATGTACGTGTACGTATATGTACACTTCTCAGTAGCCCTCCTCTTCCCTAGACTCACTCGCTCCTACGCCTAAAACATCGGGGAAACTCCTATCATATACTATCAGTTGGAACTCCTCCCTCCCCCCGGAGCTGCAGGTGCCAGAGTACTCCACCCCCTGTCTCGCATCTTTGAGGGCTGGCCCTAAGGGAAGTGCGGGAGCGTTTAGGGTTTCAATGACACATCCGTTTCTACCACGAGGCTTCTGGCCTTTAACTTCTCGTGGGGCTCGACCCTCGTCATCTTCAGCAGCACATCCACAGCTACGGTGTACATGGGGAAGAGCATGGGAGCTGCCTCAGAGAAAGCGGCGAACCTCATGCGTTCAGACCTACATTCTACCAGTGCAATGCCCAGGGGCGTCTGCATCATCGGGCAAGGATCGGCCATAGGTTTCGAGCGGTGTCCAGGTCTTTCCGAAGACGCAGGAGGACATGAGCTCAAGTCGCGATTGACGACGCAGTGAAACGGAAAATCGGGCGGGGCTCAAGCCCCTGTCCCGGAAAAGCAACGAGGTGTTGAAGCGTAGGGGTTTCGAGATTGCTTAAGAACTGAATACCTTTATGTTCAAAGCAATGTAGACATGAGGGCTCACATGCCAAAACTGAATAGGAGCTCTGCTTCCAGAGTTGCCAGAGGCAGAACTTGGGCCCAGACGCACATTGCTCCGGGAAACTGTGGGCCTTAAAAGCAAACTCGATACGGGTGGTTGTCAAAACTAGGGTCCCTTTTTGGATACCCTAAATACTAGGTGCCGTATCATATTCGGGACCCCAAAAAGGATCCTAAGTTTGACAACCACCCATGGTTTTAACTTTAACTTCTGACCCAGCCTACCAAGTCTGCTCCTGGTGCATCCGACAACCTTACGTCACATCTTCTGTCCGCGGATCGCAGGTCAGACAGCACCCCCGGTCGCACTTTGAGCGCGCCGGAACGATATTCCCACTGCAGCATTCGCCATCGTCGTTGGCGTGCAATCGTTGTTCTCGTCGGTATTGCTGGTGGTCTTTACATATGCGTGTCTACCATGATGATGTGGGCTACCACCTGAGCCACTACACTGGCTTTTCGCTGAGTTTAAGGGTGCTTCTGTTTCAGAGCTTGGGGCTAGCTTCGTCTACGAAGCTTGAACGTTCAACCTAACTCAGAAGGCAACCTGGACACAGCCATCGGGCAGTGCCAGCGAGGACACCCTTTCACATTCCGACGGGTCCCCCTCCAGGCCAAGCTGCACAAAGCGGGGGATCGACTGGCCACGAGCAAAGTCTGCCGCGGTCCAGCTCCGAGAATTGCGGAGGTCCAGTCTCGCGCCGGCCGCAATCAGCACCGCGCCGGCCTCGAATTGAGCCGACCGGATGGCCTCCATTAGCGGCGTGCTGCCGTGTGCGTGATAAGCACCGGCGGTCAAAACAGTCTTCCTGCCGAAGCGGTGCTGCAAGGCCTTCCCTGCAAAGAGCAGCCGGCCAAGTGGCCTGTAGTCACGCAGCACATTCATCTGAAAGTCGATGTCTGCACGGAGGGCGATCAACCGCTGCACCAGCTCGGCCGAAGCACCACGGAATACTGTGGCGGACCAGAGTGCTCGAGAAAGATCCAGCGGACTCGGGTGGCCCTGCAGCACCAACTCCTCCACCGCCTCAGTGGCCGCAAGGCCGGCTGCACACTGCAAGGTGGAGAGACCGAACAGGTTCCGGGCCAGTGGCCTGGCGCCTGCTGCGCACAGCAGCCGGATGCCCTCTGCATTGTCATGAATAGCTGCACTTTGGACCACCGGCGTGAGTCCGCCCTCAAGGTTTGCTCTCGCTGCTAGTAGCATCCGCGTTGCCTCGTGGTGCTTGAAAAGCACCGTCAGATCCAGCGCTGACAAAAAAGGGGGAAAGCCTAGCATCGGCTCATCCTTCCATGTGCGCCGGTTCGCGTCGGCGCGCTTCTCCAGCAAGCCTCGCAGAACATCTACATTGCCGGCCAGTGCTGCGTAGTGCAGAGGCCACCACCCCGTGCTGTCGGCCTCACCGACCTTTCTCAAGCCGTTCTGGTGCAGGAACTCCGCCACTGCATCATCACCACCCTCGCCGCTGGTGGGAAGCAAACCGCCAATCGGCTCGATCTCCAGCCCCCGCAGGTGAACCGTCTGCAGGTTGAAGTGGCGTCGGAATCCAGGCAGGTCGCCCACTCGCAGGCAATGAAGCAGTTTCTGCATGAGGATCTTCCGCATCACTGAAGCCAGCTTCTGCCGATCCTCTGCGATGCCGAAGTCGCCTTCCCCCACGGTTCCGCTCGGAAAGGACAGCACCGTGCCAACAACTTCAATGGAGGTGTCGCTTTGAATCAAGATCCAAGTGCTGTTTGGCGACAGCTCGCGTGCTGCACGTTCTAGGCGGCACCACCCCCTCCTGCTCCAGGTCGCCGCCGTCAGCACCTTGCCCTCGAAGGGGCAGTCGAGCACAGGACAAAGAGCGAGGAAAAACTCGCACCGGGCTACGTAGGCTGGGATGCTGTGAATAGCGTTGGCCTGCTGGAGGTTATCTGATTCACTCACAGTGTAGGTTCGATGCTCAAGCTGTGGGCATGAGAAATAGTCGTACCAGACGAACACCGCCTTGGTTTGAAAGTCTTTCATGCGAAGGAGCTTGGCCGTTTGCACCATAGTCTCTGTGACAAGGTCCAGCGAAAGAGATCCTTCTCCCCTCAGGATCCGCCTCAAGGCATCCTGTAGCGTTCGCATTTGCCTGAAGTCTGGATCAGGGTGGTGCTTCGACATCCATTGGTGAGAGACGAAGGCCGCTGTGCCCAAGTAGTGGCTGAAGATGACGAGTTCGCCCTGTGCCTGCAAAACAGCGGTCCAAGTTTGCGTTAAACCAACAATCCACACTATTCGGGGGTGACGTGACCCCTAAACCCTAAACCCTAAACCCCTAAACCCTAAACCCTAAACCCCTAAACCCTAAACCCCTTAAACCCTAAACCCCTAAACCCCTAAACCCCTAAACCCCTAAACCCTAAACCCTGGAGTCCCTAGGGTCCCGGAAGCTCCTTCATTGACTGCTTGCAGACGTTGCCAGAGATCCCGGATCATTTAGGGGTTTAGGGTTTAGGGTTTAGGGTTTAGGGTTTAGGGCCCGGATCATTTAGGGGTAAAAGCCCCTGAACCCTGAACCATCAACCGCGAACCCTAAACACTTCACCCCAAACTCTAAACCCTAAAAACCCTAAACCAAAAACCATAAAAACAAAGCCCTAAACCCTGAACCCGGCGAGGCTTCCGGTTCCAACTGAAGATCCCTTTGAGGGAGCCACATATATGGGTGGTTGTCAAAATTATGGTCCCTTTTTGGGTCCTTATTATAATACGCCACCTAATGAACACCGGCCGGCCTTCAACTTTTCGTGGGGTTCGACCTTCGTCATCTTCAGCAGCACATCCGCGGAGACCGTGTACATAGGGAAGAGGATCTGAGCAGCCTCAGCTATCAAGGGCTTTGGCTGCTTCCGGGGTTTAGGGGTTTAGGGTTTAGGGTTTAGGGTTTAGGGTTTAGGGGTTTAGGGGTTTAGGGGTTTAGGGTTTGTCTTGTATCTCCAGCAGTGAAGCTTCCGCTGTCGACCTCTCAAGATCTAAAGGCGGATGCTAGGCCAATGGGTGGCACCCGTGCTTTTTGAGGCACGACAGCTGCTGACTGGGCTTGCGGGAAACACTTGCGGTGGTCCGGCTTGGGGAACGATCATTCTTTGCATCCTCCTGGCTTTTATTTGCGGCTGCTGCTGTGGTGGATTCCTGTCCCTGGTCGCCCTGTCAAGCAACTGCAGGCGGCTTCTGCACGGGCTGGCCCGCCTGATCCTCACTGAGCTTTGGGTGGTGCCGACCGCCCACCTTACTGCTGAGCAGCGGCTGGCCGAGTACCGGACCCGTCGTGCATGAGCGAGGAGGGCTCCGACTTGGAGTCCTTGACCATAGCCTTTGGGGGGCTGGACATCACCATCCGAAGGCGGACCTCGAGGGCCGCCCCTTCCACGGACGAGGAGTTCGTGGTTGTTGAAGCGGAGCCGGCCGAGGAGCGCGCGGCTACTGACGACGAAGTGCTTGCGGCGATCACTGCTGAGGCCCTTGGTCGCCTTCATCTCCCTGAGCTTGATCCCCTTGCCAGGCGTCTTACTGGTGCTGGTGGCGAGTGGAGCGGTGCTGCTCGGGTTGCCCGCGCTTACCGGGCCGGGGTTGGAGCCAAACGCTTCCTTGCGGGCGACGGCTCCAAGATCTGGTCTCCTCAGACCAGTGGCTTGCGGAACGTCTACTACGTGGTGTTGCGAGCCCCGAACCATCCGGACGGATTCTGGACTCGGAGCTTCTCGATCTACTCCGAGGCTGTGCAGGCTCGCTACGGGCCGAAGGGATCCTTTGACAAGGAAAGCGCTTCTCACGCTTTCGCTACGCAGGCAGAAGTGGACGCCTACTTGCTCGGAGCAGGGAGGCGATGGCCGGCACAGCGGCCGTGAGGCGACCTTTGGGTCGCGCCGGTGTGGAGGCGCAGGTGGCAACCGTTCATCCGGATCGACCGCTGCCACCGGCCTACCTGGTTCTGGCGGGTGCTGGCGAAGGAGATCGAGACGATTTCGCTGTGGCCTTCTTGTTGCGGGTGCGGGCGAATGGCTTCATGTTTGCGGTCCCGGACGTGCCCCGTGTGAGGGAGTATGTGGAGGGCCTGACCAACGAGGAGGACGAGCCCCTTGTTCTCTCCCACCGCGAGCAAGTTCAGGCCGAGACGGTTCGAGGGCGGCACTTGGGCCCTGCACATGTGCTCTTGCTGGACATGCCGTGGGCCGGTGTGGAGCACTTGGTCTCCACTCAGGCCTTGCGTGGGCTTGCAGACCGAGCCGCGAGGGTCGTGACGCTTACTGTTGGGACCACGCCGGCCCGACCATGTGCTGCCGACACCGTGGACGCTGCTGCGAGATGGGTCGACCGTCTGGACCCCGACACTGCACAAGAGTACTGGGCCACTGCTCAGGAAATCGACCCGCTCGACTTGGATGGAGAGGGACTTACGGACGGCCCCGAGCCACCGGCACCGGCTGTGCGGCCGCCCCCGGCGGCGAGGACTCTTCCTGCAGCCGCTCGGGCTTCGCAAGCGGCGCCGCCGACTGGGACTGGAGCTTTGTTTGGGCAGGGGCCGGGCTTGACCGAGGCCGAGCTGGTTCGACTACGGGCTTTGGCGGGCACCGCGCCCCCGCGTACTGGAGCAGTGGAGCGCCAGCCTCCCGCAGGAGCCGGCGCGCTGGAGGACGATCTGCAAGCGGAGGCGGGCTTGGAAGCATTGCCCCCCGCGGACGTCGAGGACCCGGCGTTGGAGGCGTAGCTGACCTCGAAGCCCCTTCTGCAAAGCCTACTGCTAGCGCAGATGAGGCAGAACGCGCTTCTCATCTCGAACCTGGCTGCGAACCGGTCGGCAGATGGGATCCAGGACGCTCTGGCGGGAAGCGACTCGGCCAGCGCCAGCGACGCCAGCGGCGGGATCAAAGGACATCTTGCTCGGGCCGCCTTTGTGAAGCAGGTGTCGGATGCCAAGACCGCCGCGGCTCGCATCGAGGCGAACGCTTTGGCAGAGTTGGGCCTGACGCAGGCCGAGCCGGGGCTGATGCGCAGTTATGTAGAACAGCGAATGCCCCTGAACGACCACCGGACCCTGCATCACATAGCCGCTCTAGCTTCATACGGTTGGGAGACGGGCTTCAAAAGCCAGAACCAGGAGCTCATGGCCTTTGCGGGGCGGGTGTTGATGTTCACAGAGCAAGCCGCGCTAGACGGGGGAAAGCTTCAGATCGGGTATCTTCTTTCAGGGTATCCCGACCCGAACCCCTTAAGCCTGACCACCCGCCGTGCTCCCGGTCTTCGCTCCTTCAGCCGCCTGGCTTGCCCCCAATGGGTTGCAGCGAACCTTGCTTACATGAAGGACCTAGACTATGCCGAGACGAGGATCGCACAGCTCGGGGGCCGGCCTTCGCAAGCTCCGAAGGGAACCGGCAAAGGAGCCGACGCAGAGGAGGAAGCCGAGAAGCCCCGACGGCCACCACGACGGCCCAAGAACGCCGATGCAAGCTCTTAGGGCCCCCCGGTTCTAGTTTGGGTTTAGGGTCTCCCCCAGGGTATCAGGACACATGTGACCTTGGCGGCGGCTCTCGTGCTCAGACTTTGCCGGCTTTCGATCCGCAGGTTGCAGACCCGATCGAGCCCTTGAATTTATTTTCGGTTTTAGTTAATTCCTTTTTCGGTTCCAATAGCTGCCTCCCTTGGTTTACCAAGGATGCCCTTAGGAGCCGCGCCTGCAACGTGGAGGTCAGGTCTGTAGGAACCGACCTTTGGCCGGTCCCACCACCAAGGTGGCGATGGACTGGCTGCACCCGAAGCGGCAGTCGCTTTCGACGACGCCGGCTGAAGCTGCGACTTCAAGCTAGGATGTTGCAACTAGTCGTGTCTGCCTTGAATTGGGAATGCCTAGGCCACCCTAAGTGTGCCCCCTTAGGTGCCCGAGTCGGCGACCCGATTAGCCAAGCCCAGCAGCGAGTCCTTGACCAGTTGGAGCTTCAGCTTGATCACCTTTTCCGTGTGCCAGCCTTTGCCGCGGATGATCTCGGCCGAGCCGCTGATAAATTAGGTAGCCTTGCCACTGTGATTAAGGAACTGCCCCAAGACAATCTTAGGGAAGTGGACCTCCATGCTTGGGCCGCCTGTTTGCATTCAACGCTTCTCCCCTATGATCACCCTAAGGGTTCAGCTAGCGGTCGAGACCATGCTTCCAGTCCGTGCAAAGAAGAGTGTGCACCGGCGCGGGACGTTCCTGCGAAACAGTTTATCAACTTTCGGACGGGGGGAGCTTTGCCGGTCATCGCTAGCAGAATCAAATGGAAGAGTCCCCCGACCTTCGACCCGTGTCCTTACCTCGACCCGGACCTCAAGCACGCTTACCTTAACCCTGATTCCCTAAGACTTCCCGAAGGAGTGTGGCCAAAGCTCCCCCCGGCTCGCATCCACTGCTCGCGCGCCGAGCTGCTTAAGCTGGGGGAGGTCTGGGATAGTCTCGGGTCGGTTCGTGTGACTAGCGCTTCCGAGGTCGATTGGTCCGAAGCGGTAGGGATTTTCTCCGTTGCCAAAAGCGCCACCCATGACAGGCTCATATTAAATCCTACGGTCGTCAACTCTAGGTCCCGAACTATTTCGCGTTACTCCAGGACCCTAGCGCCTGGCTGCCTTTTGACGCTACTGAGTTTAGAGCCGCAGACCGCTTTGCGTTTTGGAGCCGATGATCTATCCGATTACTATTACACGTTCCAGATCAGCGAAAAGCGTGCTGTGCGCAATAGTTTGCGATGTGCGTTCCAGCCGGAAGAGCTGGTTCACTTCGAAGCGGCCAAGGGTTGCAATCTAGAGGGTCCTCAGGTTTTATCGCTTAATACGATGGCGATGGGTGACAGCTTGGCTGTCGAAGTGGGCCAAGCCGCTCATTTTCAAGTCCTTCGTCAGCACGTAGGATCTCTTTTGCCGAGTGAGACTCTGCTTTACAGATGTGCGGTCCCAAAGTCAGACACAATCGAGCTGCTTGCAATTGATGATCATGTGTGTCTGCAGAAGCTCCCTCTGGACCGAATTTCAGGCGCTCCTTTCCTGCGCGACAGTGCCATTCTTGAAAGCTCTTCGGTCGCCTATAAACACGTAGGGTTGGTTGCCAATGACTCTAAGAAGAGGCGGAACCTTACTGAAGGTGTTGTTTTAGGAGCTGAACTTGATGGCGTCCGCGGTTTGGTTGGGCCACCGAGGGATCGCGTCGTGAGCCTCGCTGCACTTAGCATGGTGATCGCAAAAAGAGGGCATGCCACGAGAGAGTTGCTCGAGAAGGTCACCGGTTGCTGGGTCCATGCTTTGATGTTTCGGCGTCCTGTTTTCGCAGTGCTTGATCAACTGTTCCGTGAGGGGAAAGAGCATGCACGAAACAAAGTGTTCCGGATGTCGGGGCAAGCACGGAATGAGCTTCAGATGTTGGCCTGTTTATGCAGCACTCTTGTGACAGACCTCCGTGCTCAGCCCGATCCCGCTCTCTACTGTTTGGATGCGTCGCCTTATGCCGGGGCCGTTTGCAGTGCGGCTCTAGGCTCAGCCGCCACAGCTGAACTTTGGAGGCATGGGGAAATGCGAGGATACCACACCAGACTTGAGTCCAGTGTCAGTGCACTCTTGAGTGAGAAGGGCATCGAGCATGAAGGCGATAAGCTTTTCGGTGCTAGCTCCACCGTCCCAGCTGAGTTCCAGCACGTACCTAGAGCCGACCCTTTTGTCCCTAAGCCCCTCAGCGAAGGCCTGCTGTTTGACGCTGTGGTTTTCGGGAGTACAGGGTTCGAGTGGGCTCGCGCTTTAGAGGCTTCTGGTCTTAAGGTTCGGGTTGTTCCTCTTGCCGACGGGGTTTCCGACTGCACGCCATGCTGCCTCCCGCGCTCTCTGACTCGTGAGCTCATCGCGCTTGCTGCCCGAAAGGTTGTGCGCGAGTGGCACTTTGCAGGGCCGTGGGGTGATCTCAGAAGTCTCTCTTCTGGCCGCGCTTCGGAAACGGCGCTGTGTTCTGACAAGGCAAGAGCGACCGCCCGTCGTGCCGCCATGGTTCTTACGGTCGCTGCCCGGTGCGGTCAGTTCGTTTCGGCTGAACAGCCCGCGGGCTGCCGAGGCTTCTCTTTGGAATGCTATCGAACTTTGGTTCGCCTGGGTTGCGTGGTGACTGCTACCTGCTTTTGCAGCTTTGGGAGCCCCTACAAAAGAGGCTTCGAGGTTCTTCACAACAAGCCCTGGCTTTGCACACTGAGACGTTGCTGCACTTGCGGGTCCGGCTCACACTGGGGCGGCTCAGGAACCTTTGGAGTTGAAGAGCTGGCGGCCTTCCACCGACGCTGCAAGCCTTCGCTAGAGCGTGTGTACCATCGGGCTCCGGACCTGGGCGAGAGCTTTGCTTCTTTTGGCACAGTGTTACCAGTTGGGCTTGCCACTCGAATCGGGGCTGGCTCGGCCGCTTGCAGCCGTGGCTTCGTGCCGGGGCTGCCTCTTGCAGTGAGACACCAGACTGCCCACCGGTTTGGCGTGGATGTGGGCCTGCAGTTGCTTGATGGTTGCCGGAACGAGCCCTGCTTCCCAGAGCGGCCGTGGCACGAGGATCCTGAATGGGTTTCTGAGTTGTGCCGCTCGCTCCGCTTTCGGGAGCTTTTCCGGTACCCCTTCAAGAAGGCCGGACACATCAATGTCAATGAAGCTAGGGTTTTTAAGTCCTGGATAAAGTCCCTCGCGCGCTGCTCGGTCTCAGTACGAGCTGTCGCCCTTCTTGATTCTCGGGTTACCATAGGAGCTGCTGCTAAAGGTAGGTCGAGCAGTTTTGCCCTTAGCCGTATCCTTCAAGGGTGCCTCGGGTTTATCCTAGGTTCAGGGATTTACACCAGTCTCCTGCATTGCTACTCGGAGGACAACGTGGCGGATCCCCCGAGTCGAGGGCGGGACGTGCGGCCGCCATCGGTCGCCGAACCGCGGTGGCTGCAGGAGCTGAAAGCTGGACGGCTGGAAAGCTTCGAGGCCGTTGCTGCCGCGTCTCGCATTGCCAAAAATCCAGCGAGGTGGCTTCGTTTCTTGCTTTTGCTGGCTGGTGACATCGAGCGAAATCCGGGGCCTCTCGAGCCGAGCCGCCGCGCTCGGGGTCCGCTGGACTTGGACGCTGGCTTCGCTGCCAGCACTGCACACAAAATGGCAAAGAGCTTTCGAGGCTTCCTGCTTTGGTTGGCTACCACGGCAAACCTGGACTCTGCCAAAGTCTTTCGCTGCGCGGAGTCTACAGCGCTGGCCCTTCGAGGCTACGGGCTCCACCTCTTCCAGGAAGGCTACCCCCGTTACTTGTTTGTTTACGCCATTACGGCTGTTCAGGATAAGTTTCCTCAGCACCGGAATTTCTTGACGGCTGCATGGCAAATCGACAAGAAGTGGCAAAGGGCAGAGCCGGGGTCTTGCAGGCCGGTGCTTCCTGTAGCGGCGGTGCGGGCCGCGCTGAGTCTGGCGCTTCTTTGGGATTGGCATCGCTGGGCTTGTTTGCTGATAATAGGCTTCCTGGCCATGCTTCATCCTGGTGAGTTGGTGCTTCTTACAAGGCGTGACCTGGTTTTTCCTGAGGACACTTTGGGCCACACGACGAGTTTGTTTGTGCACTTGAGGCACCCGAAGACCAGCCGTTTTGCACGCCGGCAACACGGTCGCATAGACGATGCGGCCGCCATCGCCTATGTGTACTCGGTCGTCCACGGGCTACGCATGGACGATCGTATTTACCCTGCTTCACTTCACAGTTTCCGTCGCCAGTGGGACGCTGTTTTGAGCAGGCTGGGGTTGCCGGTCCGTGCTGCTGCCAAGGGGGCCACGCCAGGAGTCCTTCGGGGCTCCGGTGCAACGCACTTTTACATGTGCACTGAGAACATTCCCTTGTTGGCTTGGAGAGGTCGCTGGGCTCGTGTCAAAACCTTGGAGTACTACTTGCAGGAGGTCGCTGCCCAGGTTCTTCTTAGTGAGCTTGACCCCTCGGCGCGCGAGAAGATCAAGCTCCTGGATAAAGCAGCCGACAGCCTGCTTTATTTTTATATGGGTGCTACGCAGGAATGAAGAGGCGGAACACTTCTTGAAGACAGTCTTTTTTGAAGTTCCTTTTCAGCCGAGCTATGGCCACTGCCCGTCGAGAAAGCTCCGGCAGGCCAGTGCTCGCGAGCTGCCACGGCAGCTGCAGATTGGGCTACTCAGAGACGAGCAGGCGAAACAAGGGAGATGTCTTGTATCTCCAGCAGTGAAGCTTCCGCTGTCGACCTCTCAAGATCTCCCACCCGTCCCGCCCTGAAAGGGCTGAGTCGGAACACTTCTTGAAGACAGTCTTTTTTGAAGTTCCTTTTCAGCCGAGCTATGGCCACTGCCCGTCGAGAAAGCTCCGGCAGGCCAGTGCTCGCGAGCTGCCACGGCAGCTGCAGATTGGGCTACTCAGAGACGAGCAGGCGAAACAAGGGAGATAGGGTTTAGGGTTTAAGGTTTTAGGCTTGTGCCCGGGTTGTTGGCTCAGGCTTGTGAGGTGAATGGCTTGGGATTTCGGGTTTGGGCGATTCGGCTTGAGGGCTTCGGAGTCACCCAGTTGCCTGAAAGATACACCCAGCGGCATCTGCATCATCGGTAAGCGAACTGCCATGGATCTCCAGGGGTGTCGGTGACTTCCCAGAGGCGCAGCAGGCCAAAGGCATTTAGGGAGTGGAGCCCTGGACTGTAAGCTCTAAACCCTTCTGCCCCTGAACTTAAACTCTAAACGGCCCAGTATATACCCGTTAAGTGAGGAATGTTGCTTCAATCTTGCAAGGATCCTCAATCTGATTTAGGGGTCCAAGATTGTGGGGTTTAAAGCATATTGCTCAGACAAGGTTGCCGGCGCCTTTTGCGAACAGAACACGTCAAAATACTTCAAAACCGCTTGTTTTACTCGAAAAACATGGGCTCGTAATTCGCCTACAGCTGCAGCCGGACGGGGACCACCAAAGTAAATGCAGTCGGCGGCAGGTACTATAAGGCTTACTACGAGGGGTCCTATACGAGGGCACATAAAGGGTGCTGTGGGGGGTTCTATAAAGGTAGTCTAGGGTTCAGGGGTTTAGGGTTGGGGTGCTAGGTTCGGAGTTTCAGGGTGTAGGAGCAGAAATTACCTATACGAGTCCTGAAGAGATATATAGAGTGAAAATGTACATCGATGGACAGGTATATGTGCCAGCATGTCGAGTGTTTGTTACTTTCTGGGGGCATCTGAACCAGCCTCCCAGCCACTGGAAAAGCAGTCTCTCGTGTTCGTGGTCATGATTATACCATGATATACCCCAAAAACCCTAAACCTCAAACCCTAAACCCGAACCCTAAACCCAAAAACCCTGTTCTCATCATGTTCCAGCAATTCTGTGCTACATCGGGAGCTCCCAGAAAATCCTCTGGAGAGCCCGATTCCCGTGTCGAGGGTTTGGAACGTAGGATTTGGTGCGCCGAGTGAGGGCATAGGATTCAGTCAGCGTAAAGGAACAAACCTCAAATCAGCGTTGTTGGGAAGGCTCCTCATAAATAAACACACATATGTACATATATATATATATATGTGTGTGTGTGTGTGTTTATTAAACAATTATATATATATATGTCTTTTATACATACTATAACAGGATACACCACAAATTGTATAGAGAGAAAAAGAGAGAGAGAGACTCTATGATGATTATTATTCCTCCTCCTACTCCTACTCCTACTCCTACTCCTACTCCTACTCCTACTCCTACTCCTACTCCTACTCCTACTCCTACTCCTACTCCTCCTCCTCCTACTACTACTACTACTACTACTACCCGCCACCGTGTTTACCGTACCCCTAAATATTGAAAAACGCAGCTGCCGCTGTGGTGGCGTGCTTATTTCAGTGTATTTTGGAAGTATGCAAATGACAAGGCTGTTTTGCGTTTTGTGTGGGAGGCGTTGCTCGAAAAGGTTTACGCGCGTGTGTTGTGACAACGTGTCTTGCTCCACATCCTTGTGCAGCATGTTGTACCAAGAGCCCAAAATTCTGTAAATACCAGCGTTTTGGGCATGATCGCCAAAGGCAGTGACATGAACATCAACCTGACCATCTTCATCATCATCTTCATAACCATCATCCTCGCCATGCTCAACATCATCGTTTACCTGATCATCTTCATCATCATCCTCATAGTCATCATCCCTATCATCATCATCCTCATAATCGTCTTCATCATCAACATAAGGCCGGTGATGCAGTTAACGATGATGTTGAAGATGGCGAGGATGATGGTTATGATGAAGATGGTCAGGTTAATGTTCATGTGATTGCCTTTGGCGGTCATGCCCAAAACACTGGTATTTACAGCTTTTTTGGCTTTTTGTACATGCTGCACAAGAATGTGGAGCAAGACACGTTGTTACAAGCATCCTACCACTGGTACTGCTACCGGCGCTACTGTGTTACTGCTTACGGTCAACCATGTCGTCATTAGCCCCCCTGCCCCCCCCCGTTACTGCTTACGGTCAACCATGTCGTTATTATCACCCCCCCCAGTAGCCGATTTCACGGGTACGGTAAACACGCCGCTGGCTACTACTACTACTACTACTACTACTACTACTACTACTACTACTACTACTACTACTACTACTACTACTACTACTACTACTACTACTACTTTGCTAGTACTGCTAACTACTATTGTTACTACTGCTTGTTGCTACGACTCTTATTCTTAATCTCATTATGACTGTATTCTCATTATGACTACATTCTTACTACATTCTTACTATAAATTATGACCATGTCGTCGATATGTTTATTTTTATTGACAAGCTTGCTACCATTACTATTATTGTTATCGTTATTGCTATTATTATTGTTATCAGTCGGTTTGGTGTTTAAGGAGCACCTTGAATCCTGAATTTCTAGACCTGGAATCCTGAATTTCTAACCCTTGAATCCTGAATCTCTAAACCTTGAATCCTGAATCTCTAAACCTTGAGTCCTGAATCTCTAGACCTTGAATGCTGAATCTTCAAACCTTGTATCCTGAATTTCTGAACCCTGAAGCCGTCAACCCTGCTCCCCACATGCTCATCTCGTGGTTTTTTTTGCTACGGGCACCTCAGTGAGATATTCCAATCAACTGACAAGGAGTTCCAGAAAAATTTGGGTTCTTCAAGGGTCCTTACAGTAAGGATCCCCTCTGATTGAAACTCCCGACTCCACGAACAATGTCGATCCCCTCTGGGGAATCTCGGATGAAGGATCGAAGGACTGAGATAAGTTGGGGTTCTGTATCCAGAGCCTCCACAACCCGTTGATGTGATGGAGGAATATACCTTAAATCTTAAATTGTAACAGGACCCCTAATATGATTTAAGGTCTATTCCTTAATGAAGGGGTTTTGGAGTCCCTGGTAAGGGTGTGAGTCTTCGGGATGTGGGGTTTTAGTTTTAGATGGTTTCAGGGCTCAAGTGCGCCCCAAGAATCTTATTTGGGAGCCCAACTTATCCCCTCACGTCTCGAGTGACCTTAAACGCTCGCATCCCTCACACATTCTGGAGGGCAGGGCCATCTCCAGTGCATTCAACAAATCAAACCGCACGGAGCTAGCCGACGACGCAAGCAAGGACACCCTTCTCTTGGGAAACTACACACAATCAAGAGGTGCCATCACACTTTCGGAGGATGCCACCGCATTCAAAATCAAACCGCAACGGAGCCGGTCGACGCCTGCAACCAAGCATTCACTCCTCCGCTGCATTGGAAATTAAATCGTGAAGTAGCTCGTAGACACTGCAAGCGAGGACACCCGTCGGCACTCCGACGGGTCTCCCTCCAGGCCCAGCTGCAGAAAATGTGGGATCGCCTGCCCACGGGCAAACTCCGCCGCGGTCCAGTTCCGGTAGTTGCAGAGGTCCAGTCTCGCGCCGGCTGCGATCAAGGCCGCTGCGGCCTCGTGTTGAGACGAACGAATAGCCTGCATCAGCGGTGTGCTGCCATGCACATGATAGGCATGAGTCGTCAGAACAGTTCTCTCCTTGCCGAGCCGGTGCTGCAAGGCCTTCCTGGCAAAGAGCAGCCGGCCGACTACGGAGATGTCGCGAGGCAAGTCCAACTGGAAGTTCACATCTGCGTGGAGAGCGATCAATCGTTGCACCAGCTCTGCCGAGCCACCGCGGAACCATGCAGCGTCCCAGAGTGCTCGAGAAAGATCCAGCGGATTCGGGTGGCCCTGCAGCACCAACTCCTCCACCGCCTCAGTGGCCGCAAGGCCGGCTGCACACTGCAAGGTGGAGAGACCGAACAGGTTCCGGGCCAGTGGCCTGGCGCCTGCTGCGCACAGCAGCCGGATGCCCTCCGAATTGTCTGCATTGGCCGCATGCAAGACAGCTGGTGCGACTCCACCCTCTGGCTGGGCTCTTGCTGAGAGAAGCAAGCGTGTGGCCTCGTGGTGCTTGTAGAAAACTACCAGATCCAGCGCCGACATCCAAGCTGGAAAGCCCAGCATCGGCTCATCCTTCGATGTGCGCCGGTTCACGTCGGCGCGCTTCTCCAGTAAGCCTCGTAGAACATCTACATTGCCGGCCAGTGCTGCGTAGTGCAGAGGCCGCCACCCTGCGAGGTCAGCCTCACCCACCTTTCTCAAGCCGTTCTGGTGTAGGAACTCTGCCACCGCATCATCACCACCCTCGCCGCAGGGAAGCAAGCCGTCAACCGACTCGATCTCCAGCCCCCGCAGGTGAACCGTCTGGAGGTTGAAATGGCGCCGGAATCCGGGCAGGTCACCCACACGCAAGCAGTGGTTCAGCTTCTGCATGAGGGTCTTCCGCATCACTGCAGCCAGCTTCTGCCGATCCTCTGCGATGCCAAAGTCGCCTTCCCCCACGGTGCCGCTCGGAAAGGACAGCACTGTGCCAACAGCTTCGATGGAGGTTACGCTCTGAATCAGAATCCAAGTGCTGTTTGGCGACAGCTCGCGTGCTGCACGTTCTAGGCGGCACCACCCCCTCCTGCTCCAGGTCGCCGCCGTTAGCACCTTGCCCTCGAAGGGGCAGTCAAGCACCGG